TACATTACCATTAGTTTTGGAACTTGAGCTTAGGTCAGATTCATCACTATTGGCACGACTAACTCTGCGCCCTTTAACTTTATGGGTCCCATTGACCAAGTCAACACTAACATCACCGTTAAATTTGTTATTCGAGAGGGCTGCAGCTTCCTCTACAAGAACTTCCCCATTCTTTGGTTTGCCCCGTTTCACTGTCTTGTCAACCATATCCACATAAAGTGTGTCATCTAAAATACTGCGAGAGTCAGAAATTTCAGACTCAGATTTGTCAGAGCGACAACTGCACTTCCGAGTTCGAGCACACCTCTTGGCTCTTGACAAAGGTTCAGTTTTGATCTCTTTCTCTTCAATCTCTGAGCTGCCAAACCTTCTGGAAGCTCGATTACTCCTTTTCCGACAAAAGGAGTCAACACTTGCATCTACTTCTGGAATCAGTCTAACCATTTCTCTGTCTTCTTTAACTGCTGGATCAGGACTAACCTCAGGAAGAGAAAGTGTCAAACTGTGTGACACATCCCCCAAAGCAGAATTATAAGTGTTATGGGTGCCGTTACTCTCATTCACAGGTGCGCCTTCTAAATCTTTAACATTTGTAATATTACTCGTATCAACATTTGGAATGGTAAATTCAGTTTCACTTACAGCATTAGATAGAGCAGCTTCAACATCAGTTTCATTTACAGCATCAGGCAGAGCAGCTTCAATTTTAATTATCCCAGGTAAAGCAGCTTCTCCAACTAATATATCAGGAACTGCACCCTCGTTTACAGAAATTTGTGGGGTTGCACTGTCATGAAAGGGGACAGTAACTTTGGGCACAACAGCTTCAGGTACATGAACTGTGAGAACCGGTTCTTGAGGCTCTACAGAAACACCTTTAATGTACGGAGGAGATTGCAATGAATATGACTTGGGAGGCAAACTTCCAGGGCATGCAGAGTTTGGCGAAGAAGTAATGGAACCAGTTGGGCACGCATGCGGTGACAGATGAGAGGAGCAGCAAGAGGAAGGTAAAACGTCTACATAGTAACTACTGTCAGGAGAGACGCAGGCATTTTCCAATGACCTTCTCACTAAATCCTCAAGATTTAAGTCCTTTTGTTTGACTTCTTTCTTCACTGTAAGTGTTGGACCAGAATGTATAGTCTCACCAATCTGAAATACAAATGTAAATATTAAAACATGAAACTTCAAATACAGTATCTTACTTCATGCGGGACAGCATCCTTTACACCAATCAAGGATAGCAAAGTTTGTCATATATTACGAATATTTCTCCAATGAATGAACTTTAGATTTTTTCATGGACCTGCACCAACGTACAGTCATTAACAGTGTAAAGAAATGCCAACTCCTTTCACAAAGTTAATAATTTAAAAGTTCTTATTCTACCTTTTAATACAAAAGTAAAGCAGATATAAAATCATGTCACTGCTAAGTAACAATTTGACCCATATTCTGGTTATTTAAAATTTGTTATTTTAACTTTTTCACTGTCACTTTTTAGTCAATTTTTCTTACCATCTTTTGATTCTGATATCTCGAGTTTTTCTTCACAAGAGGAATTTCTTTGTTTATCGACCTTAATCCTGTTCTAAGGACTGGGTTTACAAGTACTGATGCTAAATAATATGATAAAACTATATTACTTCCTAAAAAATATAAGAACAATCCAGAATGAAATTATAAATCATTATTTTCTTAATTTTTGCATAATGGCTGATATCATCTCACATTATTTTACAACACTACCATCTATACATAAAGCATATAGTTTAAGCAAGAAGATTAGATGGTATATAAGCTAGACTACAAAAGAAAAAAGTAAGGAATGAGAGAGCCTTGCTCCTCCATATTCATATAAACAGGTTCTCATGCCTCGATGTTCAGCTACGCAGCTCAGGGATCAAAAACAACAAGCACTCACGATCATAAAAGACAATACAAATAGTGAAAGATGAATTTTATGCTTCAAAAAATATAGGTCATGAAAAACGTCAAGGTGCCTTGAGCGATTACTTACAAAGATTGTATCCTAAATTTCTTATACACCACCTAAACATACAGTGGAACAAATTGCAATTCAAATTATAATTCAATAGTTATTTTATATTCAAATTCATACTTCAAAGTAACTGGCACATAGTTCAGGTCAAATTATTAACATGTTTAAAAAAATTTATTAATTAAAAAAAAAGTTAAGTACAGTACTCAAATAATTATAAATATTAAAATATGTATGCTGCTATTTGAAAACACACAATACGCATAATGCAGACAGCACCATTATAAAATTCAATGGATCCGTGTGCACAATTACAGAGCTCTCTCTTACTCTCTCTCTTCCCCCATTCCAGAAGAAACAAAAATGGTGAGGCAGCTTATCTTTCACATTCATGGAGCACATGACTTTTATATTATACAATATAAGTATACAGGAACAAAAATGATCCATGACAGGAGACATCCATTACGAAAATAGTAGTTTTTAATAGACGAGATACTCTCGTGTACGAGAAATGAGTATACAGTATATGAAAAATACACTAGATGATAGGAAAAAGCAAAGATAGCCCTAATGACAAGTATGTGGTGTTTGCAATACCCTAGAAGATAAAAAATAGTGATCTCTTATGAAAAAGAGCAGTCATACAGTGTTTATAGACTTAAAACTGAGAACAGATTACATTCCATTCCTCTTATCTTCTCCGTAGTCACCTTCATACTCGTCTTTAAAAATGACAAGGTGTTGTCACTCTTTAATATTTCATTAATAATTACCTTAGACATTCCTAAAGCAACAGTTAATATTATTCTCAATAAAATTTCTTCTTAACTAAAAACTGAAATGTTATTCAACAATGGAAAAAATTAAATGTACACCACTCTTTAATAAATAAAAAACAAAAGAAAGAAAACCACAAACCTTAAAGACTATCTGCTTAGGCAGTCGTCTATTGGTAATACTGCTTACACTTGAAGGGCGAGTCTCTGCATTCATCAATCCACTAAACCTCATTGGGATGAAGGAATTCTCTGCGAGCAGATCCAGAGAAATTATTGAAATAGGGAGACATTACACCCCCATTTTCATGATTCAAAAAATGAAAATTTCATGTGCTTTTTGGCTCATGTTTTTAACCTTTTCCATGATATAAATTCATCAAAATTTTCAAAAACATTTTGAGAACATTTAGGGCGCTTGCAAAAGTCTTTATTCCTGTGTCATCCCAACTCAGAGTTATTTGTCTAATTAATGAGCTACAAAACAGCAACATAATTATAAATTTGCAACATGCGTATATATTCGGAGGAGTTCATGCTCTTCAGTGAGACGCTACAATTTATTTGAAAAACATAAATCTACAGCAGAAAGCATAAAGATATTAACTAATGCTCATGCACACACAACAACAAACACCCAATTATATATATATATATATATATATATATATATATATATATATATATATATATATATATATATATATATATATATATATATATATATATATATATATATATATATATATATATATATATATATATATATATATATATATATATATATAAAAAATGGGTCCCTGCAGAAAGGGAAGAAACACTGATATGGCACTAATACAGTAGTCTGGCCATATGCTAAAACCGATTGCGGAAACTTTAGGAACTATCGATATAATCGCAATCTAAAAACAAACTTTTACCCTACTGAAAAGCTTAAAAAAAAGTGTAAGACAAAAATTTGAAAAAGCAACACCATTGTGTTCACCTTACAATAAAAGCAACACATAAATTTTCAATTGTTTACTAATTTCTTTACTGAAGGAATATACCAGTATTGCGTTTATTCTTTTGAAGTACTGTATTAGCTCGTGGTACTCACTGTTTTATTGAGCAAAAACTATGTAAAAACCTCTCTCAAAACCAAATAGCTATGGAGTACAGAAATTCATAGCAACAAAAAAGTATATGGATATTAAAGATCTCCAGAACACAGTTTTTTTTTTTTTTAAATCCCTACATTTACCATACACAAAAAATGAAAATAGCTTAAAATGACATCTAGTTTGAAAATGGCATACTAGCAAACATAAAAATATAAACTACAAAATTCTCCGCACTCTCAGGGATATCTGTTCTATGGACTTCAGAGGCAGTGGATACAAACCAAGTATTCAGACCTATTAATTATCAGAGAATAAAAAAAAACTATTGTATCAAATCGAGAACATATCGGTTCGAGTAGAATTTCTTTTCCATATGGATATATTTGGAAAAAGAAAATATATGCAGTGTACATATAAATATGGGTTGTAACAAGAAATTTAAGGTTTAGAGTAAATGAAATAGAAGTGGAAGTCATACTCTAAACTGAAGCTCTTTAAAAAAAATATTCGAAATACAAAAGGAACTCGCTTCTATGATGCAAGGGAGGAAGGGGTGAGTAACGTAATTAGTAATTTTAGATGATTATATATCATGCATGCACTTGATTTTAGCCCTTATACTCAGAGTGTACAAGGAACACAGGGTGAATAAACAATGAAATATATAACAATGGTGCAGTGCTGTACAAAACTTACCTTCCAATCTTATAAATAGTAAACCTAAATACTGTATATTCACTTTCTTTAAATACATAATAGCCCCACATTATACTTTTATACCCATAATAAACAAATAATGAAAAATAAAAAGTCTACACTGAGCATATAGTGTTCATTTACCAGACGACAGTACAATTTTAAGCTGCGCGCAGATATATTTGCAAGTCAAACTCAAAAGCCATATGCAATATACAATACGACTCGTAATAATACTTCAGACACTTCTACTTTCATACTACATGTAAAACATCCATATGTCTGGTCAGTTTTCATGTGCTGGAAAAGAGTTAAATACACCTGTCACATATTTCACCTGAATCCAGTGTCTTTCATGTCAATGTTTTAATCTACTTTAACTATGATTTCATCATTCATTAACACTCAAAACCTTGTGGCCATGGTGGCTGAGTGGTAACGCTTGCGACTCGAATTCGTCAAGTCGTGGCTTCGAGACTCACCATGGTCTAAGGTTAGATAGGGTATTCATTCAGGGTAACGGTCTCACTTCCAAAGTCAAAGTCCTTCACAAGAAGGCACCATCCTAGCCCTTACCAGAAAGGTAAGTCTGTGACGTAAAAATGACATCACATTCATACTCAAAACCTAAATTGAAATTATCTTATAATTCTTAGTTTTAGAAACAAAACCAAAGTATAAGCACTCAAAACTCTTGCTCGAAATTATGGATACTTTAAAAAACAAATAATTCTACTCTGTAACTGAGTTATCAATGAAGTTGTATTACAACAACTATTGGATTTGCGTGTCACAGCCAAGATAGAAATTAAATAGAATTCAGTAAAATTACTGTATTATCCAAACTGGCTCTTGCATGTGATAGTTAAACCAAAGCCACAGATTACAGAAAGTGATATTCTTACCGTATATGCAAATGTGCTTTTTTATTGCTTATGTACAAAACATGTAAATGAACAGACAAGAAGCACCATTAAAAGCGAGAGTAGAGCATGCTAAACTAACCTCTCTGTCCAGTGCAATCCCATGCCTCCTTACAATCAGCATCTATACGCAGACACAATCACAGCAGCTGTTAAAACATGGGGCCAAAGTACATATACCACCGTATTATGTATACTCATCATGAAGCCAACATATAACACCTTCTTGTGTATCACTATTATGTATACACACGATGAAGCCAACATATAACACTGTATTATGTTTCACTGTATTATGTACTGTATACTCATAATGAAGCCATTTGATATAAAGAAGAATCCCTAACACCACAAGAAGCAGACATGTATTCACCAGCTAAATGATACTGTCAAAATTTACCTCAAACAATTGCATGTTACACGACATATTTTCCTTTAATATTCCCAATTTCAGCACTAATAGTATCTTTCCTGTTATTTATCCTTGGAAGTGGGTGAAGAGGAATGCCAAATTTTTAATGCCAATGTGTCATAGAAGGGCTATAAAGTAAAAGGGGTAAATGTTGGCACTCTCTCCTTTACATCAAGTAATTTATTTTTTGCTTTTTCCCAAGGCAAAAGGCTTCAGGGATAAAAATCCTGAAGCTAGTAAAGTAGGCCACACTAGTAACAAGACCAGTAACTGCATGGCTTGAATACACCCTAACCATTCTAACCACTTTCATCAGAAACTTTTTTTTTTTTTTTCCCTCCACTATTAGTCTCCATTTGGGGGTGGACACAGATGGACTGAAGTTAGGGATTTAAAGTTGGTTGACCTTCCTATTACCATGTGAGCTCAAATGCGGGTACATCCCTCCTGAGTCGAGCACTCTACCGGTTACTCTACAGCGGTCCCCACCAGTTACTTTATAGCACGATACTAAAATATTAGATGTCACCTTCTATGACTTACAGGCAAATTAAACGTAGCATTCTATGTCTCTAATGAAACATTTTAAAAGATTATTATTAACGACGCTGCATTCAAAGCAATATTCACACAAATAGTAACAAATAACATTTAAATCCATTCCATAACTTGGAAAAAAAAAATAATTGGTGAAAACATTTTCGCACCATTCAACAACCTCAAAACTTAAAGGGGATTACCCTTGTACAAGTACAAGGTGAAGATGTACAATTTTTACTTATAATGGAAACAGAAAATGCTGAACGGCTATGAAAGTTCCAAAAATTTGGAAAAAATAAAACAAAAAATTACACTCCATGTTGCCATATTCCACTGAAACCAGCAAGGTGGCCACAAATGAACCAAAAGAAAGAGAAGTATCATGCCAGAACACATGTGGAAAGATATCCAACATTTAACAATAAAAGAAACTAGTCAATAACTGCCTATCTCTACTATTCAAATATTGTGAATGACCCAAGCAAGGTGGTGGGAAGGAATTATGACATTCCATTCTCCACCAAGGAGTTAAGAAGTATGATAAAGATATATTCACTTCTGGTGAATGTGTGCTTTGCTTTGGCCACTCCCCTTAAGAGGGGGACTGCAGCCAATGTATATATATGCAATATTCTGAGTATAACATGACTTGAAAGTAAGAGCAACTAAGAATTTTATGGTAAATGTCTCAGTAACGCAATCCCGTGGGATGATAAAGTCATGATTAAAGTGAGTAAAAAAAATTTTCACATCTTTGACTTCACTGTACAAGTCCAATAGTGTTTTGTTCACACCAAAGGTTTGAGAAAGAATTACAATATGTCAAATATATAGTCCTCAGTTTTCATTAAACATAAAAATACATATCTTAATGTACACGATCCAACTACAGTAGTTATTTTCTAAAAAATAATTTTTTAAAACTTGGTCAAGTTCTTATGTTACTCTCAATTTATTTTTTGTGCTAAATATATATAAAAACACTTGTATTATGATTTTACAAAGTCAGTAGCACTGTTAAGCCAAAAAAATATTTACAGCATAGCACTTTTAAGAAGTAAATATATTCTCGGCAAACCGCAGTAGAATAGCGGTTAGCGCACTCGACTTGGGAAGTGACTAACTAGCTTTGAGCCCACCAGTTTCTTGGCCCACTTCATCTGCATTTGGGGATATTACCGCTAATTGCTTATGAAACGGACATCAATGGATATTTGACTCTTTTAAGTTTTTTCTTTTAAAGGGTTTCTTAACATTCACAAAAATGACTTCTAAACGCAAGTACAGTACATGATTTCCCCCCCCCCCCAAAGGAAGGCATACTTATTGTCTCATGCAGACAGGCCATCATAATTATGTGGTAGTATTTCTTAAGTACAAAGAATATCAAGTATATAATGTCATCCTTAACTTCTTAAAACCGAGAGGAAGTATACTGGTTCCTTCATAAAAGATCTATATGCCTCTTAATGCCAAAATTTCTTGGTAATCAATACAATGACAAATGTAACAAGTTTACAACAGACTAAAGTGGAAAACCATTTTTTTTTTAATG